TTATCAAGGGAACATCCATTACGGGCGGCGTCCGTCTGCGCCCGGAGCCGCCGCGTTCCCTTCCCATGTTTGGTGCTCCATCAATCCCCAGCCAGCCTGGATCCCCTCGCCCTCCTTCCCCGGCCCAAACCTGGCCAAAATGCTTGGTGCACAAATGTCCCAAGAGGGGGAGCATCCCTGTGCACCTTGGGTTTAAATACACCAAAAAAAGTGGGGGTAAAAAACAAAAAAAAAATCTGAGAAATGGCTCAACATGCCCAGTTTGGAGGCTTCAACCCGGCCAAAATCCTCTTCACAAACATATCCTGTGAGAGGGAGCATCCCTGACCTTGCCTGGATTTAAACACACCAAAAACAGAGATAAAAATCTGGGAAATGACCCAACATCCCCACTTTGGATGCTGAGGAGCTCCAGCCCAACCTTGGCCAAATTCTCTTCACACAAATGTCCCAAGAGGGGGAACATCCCTGACCCCTCTGGATTTAAACACAACAAAAACAGGGATAAAAAAAATCCGGGAAATGACCCAACATCCCCACTTTGGATGCTCCAACCCCAATCAAAATCCTTGACAAACAAACATCCTGTAAGAGGGGGAGCATCCCTGACCCCCTCAGCATTAAACACACCAAAAACAGAGAGAAAAATCCTGGAAATGACCCAACATCCCCACTTTGGATGCTCCAACCCCAGCCAAAATCCTCTTCACACAAATATCCTATAAGAGAGAGCATCCCTCACCCCCTTAGATTTAAATACACCAAAAACTGGAATAAAAAAATCCTGGAGATGACCCAACATCCCCAGTTTGGATGCTGAGGAGCTCCAGCCCAACCTTGGCCAAATTCTCTTCACACAAATGTCCCAAGAGGGGGAACATCCCTGACCCCTCTGGATTTCAACACAACAAAAACTTAAAATTAAAAACAGGGAAATGATGCAACATCCCCACTTTGGATGCTGCAACCCCAATCAAAATCATTGACACACAAATATCCTGTGAGAGGGAGCATCCCTCACCCCCCTGGATTTAAACACAACAAAAACAGGGGATAAAAAAAATCCAGGAAATGACCCAACATCCCCACTTTGGATGCTCCAATCCCAGCCAAAATCCTCTTCACACAAATATCCTGTGAGAGGGAGCATCCCTCACCCCCTTGGATTTCAACACACCAAAAACTGTGATAAAAATCCTGGAGATGACCCAACATCCCCAGTTTGGATGCTGAGCAGCTCCAGCCAGTGGAGGCTGGGAATTTCTCCGGCACCGGCACCACTGGAGCGTGTAAGAGCAGATTATTTGTGCTCCCGACTTGCTGATGCAAGATGAAAAATCCAGCGAGCTGCAGCTGCTGAAATCAGCTCTTTTCTCCCCTTGCCTTCCCTTTCCCCTTCGCTGAGGTTTGTGCTTCGCCAAAGGTTTTTGTATTCCGGGAGCTAAAACCTGTCCCTTGCAATCAGCCACAAAAACTCCGGGACTTTGTCAGCTCCTCTGAGCTGGGAAAGATGGGAAAAAGATGGGGGGAAAAAGATGGGGGGAAAGAAAGATGGTGGGGAAAAGATGATGGGGAAAAAGGTGACGGGGGAAAAGGCGACGGGGGAAAAAGGTGACGGGGGAAAAGGCGACGGGGGAAAAGGCGACGGGGGAAAAGGGGGCAAAAAATGGGGGGAAAGATGGGGGAAAAGGTGATGGGGGAAAAGGATGATGGGGGAAAAGGTGATGGGGGAAAAGGTGATGGGGGAAAAGGTGATGGGGGAAAAGGTGATGGGGGAAAAGGTGATGGGGGAAAAGGTGATGGGGGAAAAGGTGATGGGGGAAAAGGTGATGGGGGAAAAGGTGATGGGGGAAAAGGTGATGGGGGAAAAGGTGATGGGGGAAAAGGTGGGAAAGATGGGGGAAAAGGTGGGGAAAAGGTGGGCGAAAAATGGGGAGAAAGATGGGGAAGGTGATGGGGGAAAAGAGTGATGGGGGAAAGCTTCCCAAGCTGGGAAAAGCTGGGAAAAGCATCCCGGAGCTGCACAAATCCCAGCTCAGTTGTTCACAGAGTCCCGGGGCAGCTCCCTTGGGATTTGAGGCCGGGTCAAGGCCACTGGAATAGATTTGTATGGAGGAAACGAACTGGGATTTCAGCCCAGGACAAACCAGATGCTGCGCTCCAAAGATCCTGTCCCCTCGCCCAGATCTGAGGCCCTGAGGGGACACAAGGAGGGACATCCCGGACCCTCCGTGCCTTCAGAAGGACAACAGGGAAGGGTTAAACCCCTCCTGCATCCAGAACATTCCACATGCAGAGCCATTCCCGGCAGGATGGAGCAGCTGGTGGCTTCCCTGTGACCTCTGTGACCGAGGGGACAGGGCTGGTGTCCAACCCCAGCAGCCCCACACAGCTGGGAAACAGCAAAGAGAGGCAGGAAAAGCTCTGGAAGGGCTGTTTTCCATGCTGGAATATTCATTTTCCCTCTCCTCCAATTATTCTGCTCTTTTTCGGTGTGGAATTCTTGCCTTACAGGAGCAGCAGCCCCTGGATCAACCTCCATGCAGGAAAAATCCCTCTGGAAAATCCTATCCCGCCAGAAAGGGTTTTCCCTCATTAGGCTTTCAGCCAGGAGGGTCAATTAATTACCCTGGCAGGTTAATTGCTCTGGCAGGAGAATTATCTCATCTCCTGTCGCCTCCAGCTCTGGGAGCACTTGGGATCTGCTCTGGCTCCAGAGACTCACCAGGCCCCTGTCGGATCGGGATGAGCATCGGGCTGGGATGTCGGATCGAGAAACTCATGGAAAATGGGAAACCCCATGGCCCTGCCTTGTCCTCCAGGATCAGGAGCAGTTTTGGCTGGATAAACTCATGGAAAATGGGAAACCCCATGGAACTGCCTTATCCTCTGGGATCAGGGGACATGGGGGAGTTTTGGATGGATAAACTTGTGGACAATTGGAAGTCCCACAGCCCTGCCTTGTCCTCCAGGATCAGGAGTTGTTTTGGCTGGATAAACTCGTGGACAACTGGAAACCCCATGGCCCTGCCTTCCTTGTCCTCTGTGATCAGGGGACATGGAGGAGTTTTGGACGGATTAATCCCTGGATAATGGGAAATCCCATGGCCCTGCCTTGTCCTCCAGGATGGGGAGGAGTTTGGCTGGATAAACTCATGGAAAATGGGAAACCCCATGGCCCTGCCTTGCTCCCCAGGGTGAGGGCACACAGGGGTTTCGTGTCCCATTCCCAGCTGGAGATGCCGGAGGGGAGTGGATGGGATGGGATTTTCTCCTGAAAACCCAGATCCAAGGAATGCATCCCTGCCCCATCCCAAGGAAAAAAACCCCCGAGGTCCCAGCAAAACTCTACAGCAAAACCAACACAAATAAACCCCAGATCTGGGCATTTTCCAGAGCAAGAGCCCCCATCCCGGCTCTCCCATGCTTCTCCCAAAAAACCTTGGAGCAAACAAACCCTCCCAGCAGCTGCTGCCCCTTCCCCTTTCCCCCTTTCCCTCCTGGTGTGGGGATTTCATTCCATGCAGGAATTAAAGCTCTGCAGCCCCCCCCAGCTCTCCCAGCCCCGTTATCCCTCTCGGAGCGCGGATCCGTCGGCAGCATCCGCCTCGGAGCGCGCTGATGGAGAGGAGCTGCCATTCCCGGGTATCTTTTATTCATGGCCACCGGCTCCTTGGATTACTTTTTGATAAAAAGCCACATTCCCACATTTCAAACATCTCCGCTCGCAGCCTGGGGAAGGCCCGGAGCTCGCATTTATTTCCCTGCTGAGCGCTGGGAAGCTCCATCACCTTGACGGGAGAAGATCCCGCTCCTGGCGGGAGCCATCGGGAAGCGGACCCGGCTCCCGAGGGGGACAGGAGGGGTCGTGCCCGGTGACAAACGGGTGACAGAAGGAGCAGGAGCCTCGGTGCCCAGCTCTGCGCTGCCAAGGGGGAAACAGCGGGAATTCGGCAGCCGGGGGAGGTTTTGGGGGATACAGTTCCATCCCTGGGGTCTGTCCCCTGGGTGTCCCCAGGGCATTGTCCCAGTGCCACTTCCAGAGCCAAACAGGGGGGAAAACAGAGCCCGGGAGGTGACACTGATACTGGGGGTGACACTGATACTGGGGGTGACACTGATGCCAGGGGGTGGCACCAGTATTGGGGGTGACACTGATGCCGGGAGATGACGCCAATGCCAGGGCAGTGACACTGATGTTGGGGAGTGGCACCAATGTGACATTGATGCTGGAAGTGGCCAGGAGAAACCCCCAGAGTGCCCAGGTGGCACCAGTGGCAGGGGGTGACACTGATGGCCAGGTGGTGACACCAATGCCAGGGAGGTGACACTGATGACTGGAAAGATGACACCAATGCCAGGAGGATGACACTGATGGCCAGGGGGTGACACCAATGCCAGGAAGGTGCCACCAGTGCCAGGAGGGTGACACCGATGGCTGGGTAGTGACACTAATGCCAGGAGAGTGACACTGATGGCCGGGGGCTGACACTGATGACCGGGAAGGTGACACCAATGCTAGGGAGGTGACACCAATGCCAGGAGGGTGACACTGATGACCAGGGCAATGACACCAATGCCAGAAGGGTGACACCAATGCTAAGAGGGTGACACCAATGCCAGGAAGGTGACACTGATGACCAGGGCTATGACACCAATGCCAGGAGGGTGACACTGGTGGCTGGGAGGTGACACCAATGCCAAGGGGTGACACTGATTACTGGAGGCTGACACCAGTGCCAGGGGGGTGACACAGATGACCAGGGCAATGACACCAATGCCAGGGAGGTGACACAGATGACCAGGCAATGACACCAATGCCAGGGAGGTGACACAGATGACCAGGCAATGACACCAATGCCAGGGAGGTGACACAGATGACCAGGGCAATGACACCAATGCCAGGAGGGTCACAATGATGGCTGGGTGGTGACACCAACCCCAGGGAGGTGACACCACACCCGTCCCACACCCCAAGACCCCCGTGGCGCGCCCTTTACCTGCACAGGTGATCCGCCCGGCAGGCGCCGCGCAGGTCCAGGCAGTTGGGCTTCTCCTTGTCCTCGTAGGAGCAGGAGGGCACGATGGTCTGGCGGCGGCGCTCGGCGCACGCTGGGTCCTTGCAGGAGCAGAAGAGCAGGCGGAAGGTGAACTCGCCGGGCACGCGGTCGAAGAACTGGCGCAGGGCCTTGTGGCACTTGCGGCGGTTGCAGGGCTCGGTGGCCGACAGCTCCCGGCTGCAGGTGGAGATGTAGCCCGAGCGCAGGCGCTTGCAGTTGTCGTTGAGGTTGCAGGCCTTGGCCGCGTCCAGGCAGTGGTTGCTCTTGGAGGTGGTGGCCGGGTCCATTCCTGCCCAGGGAAGAGGATATTTGGGGTCAGGGAGGTGGGGAGGGATGGATGGATGGATGGATGGATGGATGGATGGATGGTGTAAAGCTGGGGAGGTGGAGTGTGGGAAGGTGGGATTGAGGAGGGGGAATTGGCCTTGACCCCGGGAGATGCCCTCAAGGCTGGGGAGATGCCCTCAAAAACAGCCTTAAACTGGGCTTGGGAGATGCCCTCAAAAACAGCCTTAAACTGGGCTTGGGAGATGCTCTCAAAGCTGGGGAGATGCCCTCAAAAACACCTTTAAACTGGGCTTGGGAGATGCCCTCAAAGCTGGGGAAATGTCCTCAAAAATGCCCTTAAGCTTGGATTGGGAGATGCTCTCAAAGCTGTGGAGATGCCCTCAAAAACAGCCTTAAACTGGGCTTGGGAGATGCCCTCAAAGCTGTGGAAATGTCCTCAAAAACAGCCTTAAACTGGGCTTGGGAGATGCCCTCAAACCTGGGATGGGAAGAAGCCCTGAAATCTGTGAATAAGCCCTCAAACCTGAGATGGGAAATATCGCTGAGCCTAGGATGAGGAGAATTTCTCAAAACTGAGGAGATGTCCTCAAATCTGGGATGAAGAAATGCTGTTGACCTGGGATGGGGAGGAACCTTCAAAGCTGGAGAGATGTCTTCAAAACCTGGGGCAGGGAAAAGCCCTCAGACCCAGGGAGATGGCCTCAAAACCTGGGAGACACCCTCAAACCTGGGGTGATGCCCTCAAAACCCTGGGGAGATGTTCTCAAACCCTGAGGAGATGCCCTCAAAACCCAGGAAGATGCCCTCAAAACCCAGGATGAAGAAACAGCATTGACCTGGGATGGGGAGGAAGCTTCAAAGCTGAAGAGATGTCCTCAAAACTGGGGCAGGGAAAAGCCCTCAAACGTGGGGAGATGCCCTCAAAACCACAGAGGTGTCCTCAAACCCAGGGAGAGGCCCTCAAACCCTGAGGAGATGCCCTCAAACACGGGGAGATGGCCTCAAACCCTGAAGAGATGCCCTCAAACCATGAGGAGATGGCCTCAAAACCCAGGGAGACTCCCTCAAAACTGCAGAGGTGCTCTCAAACCCCAGGAGATGCCCTCAAAACCCAGAGAGATGCCCTCAAAACCCAGAGAGATGCCCTCAAAACCCAGAGAGATGCCCTGAAACCATAGGGAGATGGCCTCAAACCATGAGGAGATGCCCTCAAAAGCAGGATGGGGAAAGTCCCTCAACCTGGGGAAGATGTGACAGGCGTCGTGTCACCCCCGTGGCATCGGTGTCACCTCCCAGCATCTCCACCCCATCCCATCCCTGGGCTGACCCCATCCCCATCCCTGGGCTGACCCCATCCCATTCCGGGCACAATCTGGGGGATCAACACCCCCCAAACCAGGGCCCCTCTGGGCAGAATCCAGGCCGTGAATTTGCAACGTTTCTGTCCTATCGTCAATTCTTCAAAGAATGGTTATTAATTATTAATTAATTAATGATTATTCAACTCCAAAAGTGGAATAATCAACCCAGCTCCAGTGTGGCTCCCACAGCCCCTCCTGGGGCTCCCCAAAAGTGGGACAGCTCCAGACAGGGATGAAAGGGACGAGAGGATCAATCCCGTATCTATCTGGGAATCCCATCCTGGGAATCCCATCCTGGGAATCCCATCCTGCATCCAGCCTGGGAATGCCATCCCATGTCCATCCCGGGAATCCCATCCAAAATCCATCCTGGGAACGGCACCCTGAATCCATCCTGGGAATCCCATCCCGGGAATCCCATCTAGAACCCATCCTGGGAATCCTATCCAGAATCCATCCTGGGAATCCCATCCTGGGAATCCCATCCTGCATCCAACCTGGGAATCCCATCCTGGGAATCGCATCCCAGGGATCTCATCCTGCATCCAACCTGGGGATGCCATCCCATGTCCATCCCAGGAGTCCCATCCAAAATCCATCCTGGGAACGGCACCCTGAATCCATCCTGGGAATCCCATCCCGGGAATCCCATCTAGAACCCATCCTGGGAATCCTATCCAGAATCCATCCTGGGAATCCCATCCTGGGAATCCCATCCTGCATCCAACCTGGGAATCCCATCCTGGGAATCGCATCCCAGGGATCTCATCCTGCATCCAACCTGGGGATGCCATCCCATGTCCATCCCAGGAGTCCCATCCAAAATCCATCCTGGGAACAGCACCCTGAATCCATCCTGGGAATCCCATCCTGGGAATCCCATCTAAAACCCATACTAGGAATCCGATCCAGAATCCATCCTGGGAATCCCACTCTGAATCCATCCTGGGAATCCCATCCTGCAGCCATCCTGCATCCAACCTGGGAATGCCACTCTGAATCCATCCTGGCAATCCCATCCTAGGAATGCCACTCTGAATCCATCCCAGGAATCCCATCCTGCATCCAACCTGGGAATGCCATCCAAAATCCATCCTGGGAACAGCACCCTGAATCCATCCTGGGAATCCCATCTAGAACCCATCCTAGGAATCCTATCCAGAATCCATCCTGGGAATCTCATCCTGGGAATGTCACCCTGAATCCATCCTGGCAATCCCATCCTTCATCCATCCTGGGAATGCCACTCTGAATCCATCCTGGGAATCCCATCCTGGAAATGCCACTCTGAATCCATCCTGGGAATCCCATCCTGGGAATGCCACTCTGAATCCATCCTGGGAATCTCATCCTGGGAATGTCACCCTGAATCCATCCTGGGAATCCCATCCCAGGAATCCCCTCCCATATCCATCCCAGGAATCCCCTCCTGGGAATCTCAACCTGCACCCATCCTAGGAATCCGATCCCAAATCCATCCTGAGAGTCCCATCCTAGGAATCCCATCCCACCTCCGTCCCGGGAATCCCATGCCAGAAATCCCATCCTGGCAATCCCACCCCACATCCTTCCTAGGAATCCCATCCTGAATCCATCCTGAGAGTTCCACCCCAGGAATCCCATCCTGAAAATCCCATCCCACAAATCCCATCCCTCAGGAGAGGACGGATGAGGCCAAGCCCCAGCTTGGGAACAAATGCTGAATTTTCCTTTCTTTTTTTTTTTTGCTGGGAATGATGGATCACCCTCCACAGCCCAGGTGCCGCTTCTGAATTCTCCTCATCCCTCATTCCCTTCCCTCCACATCCCAGCCAAATCCATGGATTCTCCTCCATCGCCTCCCAGCTTCTGCCGGCACCAAGGAAAGCTCCTAATTGGCCTAATTGGAGGGTGCTGCTAATTAACAGGACAGGGGATGGACACATCAAGGGGGAAAACGGGACTGGAGAGGTGGGGCAAAGGAGGATTTAGGTGGGGAAAAGGAGGATTTATTTGGGGAAATGGTGGATTTAGGTGGGAAAAAAGGGATTGAAGAGGTAGGGGAAAAGGTGGATTTAGGTGGGAAAAGGGAATTGAAGACGCGGGGAAAAAGTGGATTTAGGTGGGAAAAGGGGATTGAAGAGGTGGGGAAAGGGGGATTGAAGAGGAGGGGAAAAGAAGGATTTGGGTGGGGAAAAGGTGGATTTGGGTGGGGAAAAAGGAATTGAAGAGGTGGGGGAAAAGGGGATTTTAGATGGGAAAAAGGGGATTGAAGAGGAGGGAAAAGGAGGATTAAGGTGGGGAAAAGGGGGATTGAAGAGGTGGGGAAAAAACGGGGGATTGAAAAGGTGGGAAAAAGAGGATTTAGGTGGGAAAAAGGGGATTGGAGAGGTGGGGGAAAGGAAGATTTATGTGGCAAAAGGGGGATTGAAGAGGTGGGAAAAGGGGGATTGAAGAGGTGGGAAAAGGGGGATTGAAGCAGTGAGGAAAAGGAGCATTTAAAAGACGGGGGACAGCAGGGTCTCTTCACTCCCCTGGTTTTGGGGGACGCATGGAGCCCTGGAGGGGCGAGCAGCGGATTCCCGGCACGAGGCCGGGAGTCGGGGATCCGTGGGAAGCGGCAGCCGATTGTCTCCTCCTCGGGAGCTTCGCTCCTGCCCTGCCCGAGACCTGCGGGGACCCGGCTGCATCTTAATGGAGCCGCGGCTTTGGAAGCGCCGCGCTCCTGTGGGGGAGCTCATTAATAAAGCACGAGCATGAAAATTTCATGAGCAGAGACGGAAGCGGGGCCCGAGGAGCTGGGGACGGGGGCTGGGGCCACCAGCTGTCCCCTCTGCGCGTCCCCACGGCCGCTGGGCACAGGGGACGAGGAGGAGGAGGATGAGGAGGAGGAAGATGGGGCAGCGCTGCCGGGGATGGGGGGGTTTGGGTGTGGAGAATTCCCAGCTGGAGCCTCTCCCGTCTTCCACGGGCTGTGATTTCCCCGGGATCCAGCAGGGATGAGCATCCCGGGCTTCCCTGCCCAGAGCGGGGGTCCCGCAGCGCGGGGAGGGGGCTCCGCGGGCGCTGCGCGCTCTTTACGCGCGGGTTACGCGCGGGTTACGCGCAGGTTACACAGCCCCTGCTCCCGCAGCCATCCCTCCGCTCCCAATTATCCCTGCGGGCAATTAACAGCTCCTGCTCCAGGAACGGCTCCAAGAACGCGCTCGCTTCAGCGCTCGCCGATGGCCCCGGAGGTCCCGGGGAGGGGACAGGGACACAGGGCAGGGGTGGCAGCGGCAGCGAGGCCGCCCCGGCGCTCACAGCCCCGTTCGCCACCTTCCCCCATCCCCAAAATCTCCCCTCGCGGCTTTTCCTGCGCCTCTCGCATAATTCGGTGTCTAATCCCCGCTCCAGACTTCCAGCTGGAAAGGTTCCGGATTTTGCAGCTCCAAGGGTTTTTCTGACGTCAATGCGATCCCAAAAAAGGCGGGAGAGGGTGGCAGCGTCACCCCAAAAACCCGCGCCGAGCTCCCGGGGAGAATCCACCTGGGAAGGGCCGGGAAATTCCCCCCGGGGGCTGCAGGGGACAGCGGCGGGGTCACAGCCCCGCTCGGGGATGGCCCCGGGGAGGGGACAGGGACACAGGGACGGGGTGGCAGCGGCAGCGAGGCCGCCCCGGCGCTCACAGCCCCGTTCCCCACCTTTCCCCATCCCCAAAGTCTCCCCTCGCGGCTTCTCCTGCGCCTCCCGGATAATTCAGTGCCTAATCCCCGCTCCAGACTCGCTGCTTTTCAGATTTCCGGCTCTGGGTTCTTTTACTGTGACACAATTCCCCAGAAACACCTAAAAAAACCCTAAAAGCATGTTCTCAGCTTGGGTTCTTTTGTTCTTACAAAATCCCCTAAAAACCTTAAAAAAAAATCCTTAAAAACCTGTTCTCAACTCGGGGTTCTTTCATCGTGTCAAAATCCCCTAAAAAAACCCTAAAAAACCCTAAAAATTCTCGCCTCTGGATTCTTTTATTGTTACAGATTTCGCAGCTCCCAAGGTTTTTCTGACACCAACGTAATCCCAAAAAGGCCGGCCCGGGGAGTGGCAGCGTCACCCCAAAAACCTCAGGGGTGCTCCAAGGGGTTCCAGGGGACACAGGAATGTTCTGAGGGACACAGGGATGCTCCAAAGGGACACAGGGATGTTCCAAGGGGGTCCAGGGGACACAGGAATGTCCTAAGGGATACAGGGATGCTCCAAAGGGTCACAGGGATGCTCCAAATGGCTCAGAGATGCTCCAAGGGGTTCCAGGGGACATAGGAATGTCCTAAGGGATGCAAGGATGCTCCAAAGGGTCACAGGGATGCTCCAAGAGGTTCCAAAGGTCCCAGGGGTGCTCCAAGGGACACAGGAATGTTCTGAGGGACCCAGGGATGCTCCAAAGGGACCCAGGGATGCTCCAAGGGGCTTCCAAGGGACACAGGGATGCTCCAAGGGATTCCAGGGATGTTCTAAGGGACACTGGGATGCTCCAAGGCGTTCCAGGGGACATAGGAATGTCCTAAGGGATGCAAGGATGCTCCAAAGGGACATTGGGATGCTCCAAAGGGTCACAGGGATGCTCCAAGGGGTTCCAAAGGTCCCAGGGGTGCTCCAAGGGATACAGGAATGTTCTGAGGGATACAGGGATGCTCCAAAGGGCTTCCAAGGGACACAGGGATGTTCCAAGGGGTTCAAGGACACTCCAAAGGGACTCAGGCATGCTCCAAGGGGTTCCAGGGAACACAGGGATGTTCTAAGGGACACAGGGATGCTCCAAAGGGACACGGGGATGTTCCAAGGGGTTCCAGGGGACACAGGAACATCCTAAGGGATACAAGGATGCTCCAAAGGGACCCAGGGATGCTCCAAGGGGTTCCAGGGAATACAGGGATGTTCTAAGGGACACAGGGATGCTCCAAAGGGACACTGGGATGCTCCAAGGGGTTCCAAGGGACACAGGGATGTCCTAAGGGATACAAGGATGCTCCAAAGGGTCACAGGGATGTTCCAAAGGGACACTGGGATGCTCCAAGGGGTTCTAAGGGACAGAGGGGTACTCCAAGGGACACAGGAATGTTCTAAGGGATACAGGGATGCTCCAAAGGGACCCAGGGATGTTCCAAGGGGTTCCAAGGGACAAAGGGGTGCTCCAAGGGACGCAGGAATGTTCTAAGGGACCCAGGGATGCTCCAAAGGGTTCCAGGGATGCTCCAAAGGGTTCCAGGGATGTTCTGAGGGACACGGGGATGGTCCAAAGGGACACGGGGGACCCGGGGATGCTCCAAGGGATTCAAGGATGTTCTAAAGGGACACAGGGATGCTCCAAGGGTCTCAGCATCCCTCTCCCAGCAGCTTCCCAGAGCTCGAGGGTGCCGCCCCAGGGAGGGGACAGCAAACAGGCCCCCCCCAGTCCTGAGGGTCCCAAATCCTGCGGAACACCAGGAATTCCATGGGGAATTCCATGGGAGGAGCTGCACCCCCCTGGGGCCAGGGCTGGCTTTGTGCCCCCCCCCGGTGCTGGGGACAGCACAGATCCAGGGAATCCCGGGAATTCCACATTTTCCAGCCATTTTTTATAGAAACCCAAACTGGAATGAACTCTTGGGGAGACCCTGCAATAAACAAACACCAGGATCTGGTTTGGGATGACCCTAGAATGAACAAACACCAGGATCTGGTTTGGGATGACCCTAGAATGAACAAACACCAGGATTTGGTTGGGATGACCCTAGAATGAACAAACACCAGGATCTGGTTTGGAGAGACCCTAGAATGAACAAACACCAGGATTTGTTTTGGGATGACCCCAGAATGAACAAACACCAGGATTTGTTTTGGGATGACCCTAGAATGAATAAACACCAGGATCTGGTTTGGGATGACCCTAGAATGAGCAAACACCAGGATCTGGTTTGGGAAGACCCTCCAATAAATAAATACTGGAAGCAAAGAGCTAAAACCCTAAATCCCAGCCTGGGATGATCTGAAACAGAGAGAACCCACCCCAAAAACGCATCAGAGTGATGCACAGGACCCCAAATTTGGGGGGGAGAGAAGGGGAGGAGAGGCTGGAGGAGCAAAGGAGGAGGGAGGTGAGGGATGGAGGATTTCCCTGGCTGGGAGCAGCTCTGTGCTCAAGGCAGGAGATAAAACACGGAGCTTTTATTACCTGAGAAAATTGAAGCGAGTCTGAATATATCAGAGAGACGAGAGGTGACCGGCTCGTACGGGGAGGCTTCATAAAACTCCTCTCCTTTGGCAGGGGGGAAAAAAGGGAGAGAAAAAAGGCAAATTAAAGCTTGTGGTGAATAATCTCAGCCAGTTCCAGAAACAGACACCCCCCTGGTTTGGGGAGGGAAAAGGAAAAAAGGGTTCCAGGCACTGGGATTAAAGGGAAAAGGGGGTTTGGGAGAGGTTCCGGGAATTTTGGATGTGGTGGTGGCCAATCCCAAAGGATTCCAGAATTGGGGGGAATTGGGGTTGGGATATTCCAGGGACTGAGTTCAAGGCTGGAAGTTTTGGGGTCCCCACTCAACTCTGGGTTCTTTTGTTGTTACAAATTCCCCTAAAAATGCCTACAAACCCCTAAAAACTTAAAAAACCCTAAAAACCTGTTCTCAGTTCTGGGTTCTTGCTACAAAATTCCCTAAAAATACCTAAAAACACCTAAAAAACCCTAAAAACCGTTCTCAACTCTGGGTTCTTTTATTGTGACAAAATACCCTAAAAACACCTAAAAAACCCTAAAAACCTGTTCTCAGTTCTGGGTTCTTCTATTGTGACAAAATACCCTAAAAATGCCTAAAAAACCCTAAAAACCTGTTCTCAACTCTGGGTTCTTTTATTGTGACAAAATCCCCTAAAAACGGAATTCAGGAATCCCCTGCGTGGAAATCCCAGTGGGGAGCAAAGCAGGAGGGTTTGCTCCAAGCCCGGTGACATTCCCGGGAAATTTGGGAGGGAAATCCCAAAATTTGGGAGGGAAAGACCCCACTGGGATGCTGGGCTGGGTTCTCCCTGTCCCGAGTGCGATGGGATTTGGGGACAGCACCCCAAGGGCAGCTCTGGCTCCTCCTGATCCTCACCAGGAATGGGAACAGGATCCAAACCCCTCTCCAGGCCATTCCCAGGAAATCTGGGGGGGAAATCTGGGAGGGAAATTTGGGAGGGAAATTTGGGAGGGAAATTTGGGATGTCCCTGCTCCCCATGGGCTCCCAGCGCTGCTCTCAGGATGATCGGATTTGGGGACAACACCCCAAGGGCTCCTCCTGATCCTCACCAGGAATGGGAACAGGATCCAAATCCTGCTCCTTGGCCCCATTCCCAGGCGATTTTGGGGGGAAATTTGGGAGTGAAATGGGATCTCCCTGCTCCCCGTGGGCTCCCAGCGCTGCTCTGGGGATTGACGGGATTTGGGGACAGCTGACTTGGGATTTGGGTACAACTGATTTGGGATTTGGGCTCCTCCTGATCCTGCCCGGGACCGGGATCGGGACCCAAACCCCGCTCCCGGCCGTTCCCTCTCCCCTCCCCGCCTCTCCCGCTCGAACCCAGCGCGAGCTCCATCGCTGCCATCAATAATTAAACACCCGCTTGACTCCTGCTGCTCGCCGGGGAAATTACCGAGCATTAACGGGGCGCTGGACCTGCCTGCAGCCGCAATTAACCCCCGGGAAGGAGGCTGGAGCCTCCCTAATGGCAGGGAGAGCTCGGGGGGGAGGAGGGGAACCCCGAAATCTCCGCTAAAAGGCACAAATTTGCGTTTGAGCGCCACAAAGGATCGCCACGAAGCTTCCCCTCCCTCCCTAAACCTCGGTTTAATCGCTGCTCTTCCCTCCTCCTCCTCCTCCAGGTGCAGTTGCCATCCCAATTCCCTCATTCGCTCCCAAAAAAACCCCGGGAAGCTGCTCAATGAGGGCAGTTAATGAGAGGGAAAAAACAATTAGGGCCTAATTCCTGCTCTGGGCCGGGATTTGGGGCTCTGATTCCTGCACTGACCCAGATTTGGAGGGAATTTCACCCAGGGGGGCCCTGGGCTCAGGTACGGCTCCCCCGCATCCTCTGGAAGAGTCTTCCCAACCTCTGGAACAGATTTTCCCACCCTCTGGATGAGTTTTTTCAATTTTCCCACCCTCTGGAACAGATTTTCCCAGTTTTCCCACCCTCTGGAACAGATTTTCCCAGTTTTCCCACCCTCTGGATGAGTTTCCCCACATCCTCAGGCACAACTCCTCCATCCTCAGCTCCAGCTTCCCCACCCTCAGCCACACCTTTCCCACAGGATTCCAGAATTCCTGGCCTGATTTGGGCTGGAAAAGGCCTTAAAAATCTCATCCCAAGCCCCCCCGTGCCACGGGCAGGGAGCTCTGCCAGCAGCCCAGGGGATTTTGGCACGAGCACAGGTGGGTCTGGGGGCTCGGTGCTGGGGCTCCAGGGTGTCCATCTGGATTCCCTGGAGTTTTAATCTGAATTTCTTGGGATTTTCACCTGAATTTCCTGGGGTGCCCATTTTTCCCCCCTGGGCTCCACATCTGTTCTATCTGGAGATAGCAACCCCATCCCCATCACCCCAAGACGCTCCTTTGGGGTCTCCTCCACCCCAAAACTCTCCTTTGGGGTCTCCCCGTCACCCCACGCTGATCCATTGGGCTCTCCCCATCCCCATCACCCCAAAATGCTCCTTTGGGGTCTCCCCATCCCCATCACCCCGGGGTGATCCATTGGAGTCTCCCTATCAGCCCTAGAGTGATCCATTGGGATCTCCCCCTCCCCATCACCCCAAAATGTTCCTTTAGGGTCTCCCCATCACCCCATGCTGATCCATTGGGGTCTCCCCATCCCCATCACCTCAAAACTCTCCTTTTGGATCTCCCCCACCCCAAAACTCTCCTTTGAGGTCTCCCCATCCCCATCACCCCACGCTGACCCATTGAGGTCTCCCTCACCCCAAAACATTTCTTTTTTGGATCTCCCCAACCGCAAAACGCTCATTTGGGATCTCCCCATCACCCCAAGATGCTCCTTTGGGATCTCCCCCACCCCAAAACTCTCCTTTAGGATCTGCCCATCACCCCCCGGGTGTTCCTTTAGGGTCTCCCACACCCCAAAATGCTCTTTTGGGGTCTCCCCATCCCCACCACCCTGGGTGCTCCTTTGGGATCTCCCCATCCCTGTCACCCCAGGGTGCTCCTTTAGGGTCTCCCCATCATCCCACACTGATCCATTGGGGTCTCCCCACTCCCCCCACCCCAAAATGCTCCTTTGGGGTCTCCTCCACCCCAAAACGCTCCTTTAGGGTCTCCCTATCACCCCAGGGTGCTCCTTTAGGGTCTCCTCCACCCCAAAATGCTCCTTTAGGGTCTCCCCATCCTCATCATCCCATGCTGATCCATTGGGGTCTCCATCACCCCAAAACACTTCTTTGGGATCTCCCCACCCCAAACTGTTCATTTGGGATCTCCCCATCACCCCAAACTGCTCCTTTGTGTTCTCCCCCACCCCAAAACTCTCCTTTGGGATCTCCCCATCCCCATCACCCCAAAACGCTCCTTTGGGGTCTCCCCATCACAGGGCACTCCTTTAGGGTCTCCCACACCCCAAAACTCTCCTTTGGGGTCTCCCCATCCCCATCACCCCACGCTGATCCATTGAGGTCTCCCTCACCCCAAAACGCTCCTTTGGGATCTCCACATCACCCCCAGGGTGTTCCTTTGGGTTGTCCCCCACCCCAAAACTCTCTTTTGGGGTCTCCCCATCCCCGTCCCCCCACGCTGATCCATTGAGGTCTCCCACACCCCAAAACACTTCTTTGGGTTCTCCCCACCCCAAAACATTCCTTTGGGATCTCCCCATCCCCATCACCCCAAAACGCTCCTTTGGGATCTCCCCATCACCCCCAGGGTGCTCCTTTGTGTTCTCCCCCACCCCAAAACTCTCCTTTGGGGTCTCCCCATCCCTGTCACCCTGGGGTGATCCATTGGAGTCTCTCTATCACCCTCAGGGTGCTCCTTTAGGGTCTCCCCATCCCCATCACCCCACACTGATCCATTGAGGTCTCCCTTACCCCAAAACTCTCCTTTGGGATCTCCCCATCCCCATCACCCCAAAACTCTCCTTTGGGATCTCCCCATCCCCATCACCCCAAAACTCTCCTTTGGGATCTCCCCATCACCCCACGCTGATCCATCAGGCTCTCCCCATTTCCCCCCCACCCCAAACCCCTCCTTCATGCCCCCCGTACCTTCTGCCAGCCCCAGGTGGATGCTCCAGTAGATCTGCAGGCACTGCAGCTCCTTCTTCATGCCCCTCTTGCAGCGGCAGCGCTCCAGGGGGCTCTCCTGCAGCACGCCCAGGGCCAGCTGGCACTCGCGGTTGGCCAGCAGCGTGTTCCTGTCGCGCCCGGCCAGGCACTGCCGCAGGGTGCGGTACCGGGAGCTGCAGCCCGGGTCCGCCACGCACAGCTCCGTGGCTCGAACGCAGTCCACGGGCACCGCCGGGGGCGGCCCGGCCAGCGAGCGCAGCATCTCGTCTGGGACGGGGAGGGAGCGAGAGGAGGGCACGGTTAGGGAGGAAGGTGAGCGTTGACATGAAGGAGCGCCCCAGATAGGGTAGATGGGGAAAATCTTAAGAAATTCAGGTTAAAATCCCAGGAAATTCAGAGAAAACATCAAGAAATTCAGGTGAAAATCCCCAGGAAATTGAGGTGAAAATCTCCAGGAAATTCAGGTGAAAACATCAAGAAATTCAGGTTAGAATCTCCGGGAAATTCAGGTTAGAATCTCCGGGAAATTCAGGTTAGAATCTCCGGGAAATTCAGGTTAAAATCTCCGGGAAATCCAGAGAAACCTCCAGGAAATTCAAGGGAAAATCTCCGGGAAATTCAGGTGAAAATCCCAGGAAATTCAGGGGAAAATCTCCGGGAAATTCAGGGGAAAATCCTCGGGAAATTCAGGTGAAAATCCCCGGGAAATTCAGGTGAAAATCCCCGGGAAATTCAGGTGAAAATCCCCGGGAAATTCAGGTGAAAATCCCCGGGAAATTCAGGTGAAAATCCCCAGGAAATTCAGGTGAAAATCCCCGGGAAATTCAGGTGAAAATCCCCGGGAAATTCAGGTGAAAATCCCCGGGAAATTCAGGTGAAAACCCCCGGGAAATTCAAATTCAAACACCCACGTGAGCACCCCAGATAGGGCAGATGGGGGCCCCAGGAGGGAAAATGGGCAGGGAATTCAGATCAAAACCCCTGGGAAATTCAGGTTAGAATCCCCAGGAAGTTCAGATTAAAACACCCAGGTTTGATCTGGGGGGTTTTAATCCGGCCCAGCTCCGTGGCTCACACACAATCCACAGGCACAGGGGGCGGCCCAGCCAGCGAGTGCAGCATCTCATGTGGGACGGGGAGGGAGGGAGAGGAGGGCACAGTTAGGGAGGAAGGTGAGCGTTGACATGAAGGAGCGCCCCAGATAGGGTAGATGGGGAAAACCTCAATTTTCCTGAATTTTCCCAGGAAATTCAGAGAAAACATCAAGAAATTCAGGTGAAAATCCCCAGGAAATTGAGGTGAAAATCCCCGGGAAATTCAGGTTAGAATCTCCGGGAAATTCAGGTTAGAATCTCCGGGAAATTCAGGTGAAAACCCCCGGGAAATTCAGGTGAAAATCCCCGGGAAATTCAGGTGAAAAGCCCCGGGAAATTCAGGTGAGAATCCCCGGGAAATTCAGGTGAAAAGCCCCGGGAAATTCAGGTGAGAATCCCCGGGAAATTCAGGTGAAAACCCCCGGGAAATTCAGGTGAAAAGCCCCGGGAAATTCAGGTGAAAAGCCCCGGGAAATTCAGGTGAAAAGCCCCGGGAAATTCAGGTGAAAAGCCCCGGGAAATTCAGGTGAAAAGCCCCGGGAAATTCAGGTGAAAACCCCCGGGAAATTCAGGTGAAAACCCCCGGGAAATTCAAATTCAAACACCCACGTGAGCACCCCAGATAGGGCAGATGGAGGCCCCAGGAGGGAAAATGGGCAGGGAATTCAGATTAAAAACCCAGGGAAATTCAGGTTAGAACCCCCAGGTTTGATCTGGGGGGTTTTAATCCGGCCCAGCTCCGTGGCTCGAACGCAGTCCACGGGCACCACCGGGGGCGGCCCGGCCAGTGAGTGCAGCATCTCGTCTGGGACGGGGAGGGAGGGAGAGGAGGGCACGGTTAGGGAGGAAGGTGAGCGTTGACATGAAGGAGCGCCCCAGATAGGGTAGATGAGGAAAATCTCAAGAAATTCAGGTGAAAAGCCCAGGAAATTCAGAGAAAACATCAAGAAATTCAGGTGAAAATCCCCAGGAAATTCAGGTGAAAATCTCCGGGAAATCCAGGTGAAAACCTCCAGGAAATTCAGGTGAAAATCTCCAGGAAATTGAGGTGAAAATCCCTAGGAAATTCAGGTGAAAATCCCCGGGAAGTTCAGGTGAAAATCCCCGGGAAGTTAAGGTGAAAATCCCCAGGAAGTTCAGGTGAAAATCCCCGGGAAATTCAGGTGAAAATCCCCGGGAAATTCAGGTGAAAACCCCCGGGAAATTCAAATTCAAACACCCACGTGAGCACCTCAGATAGGGCAGATGGAGGCCCCAGGAGGGAAAATGGGCAGGGAATTCAGATTAAAAACCCAGGGAAATTCAGGTTAAACGCCCAGATGAAAATCCCAGGAAATTCAGACTAAAACCCCAGGGAATTCAGATTAAACCCCCAGATGAAAATCCCAGGAATTTCAGGTTAAAACCCCAGGGAATTTCAGATTAAAACACCGGGAAAGGAAAGGGGAGGAAAGGAAAGGGGGGAAAGGAAAGGGATTCCTGTCTGGGAGGGTCTGGGATGGAATTCCCACAGGAGCTGTGGCTGCCTCGTCCCTGGAAGTGCTCGAGGCCGCCTTGGGATGGTGGGAGGTGCCCTTGCCCATGGCAGGGGCTGGAACGAGACCCCACAATCCCGGGAGGATTTGGGTTGGAGGAGGCCTTAAAACCAGCACGGGCAGGGAGCCGCCTCCAGCCTGTCCTGGAGCAATTCCAGGGATGTCCCTGCTCGCCCCCAGCCGAGATTCCCAAAAAATGGGAAACTGGGAAAAACTGGTGGGGGTGGGAAGGTGCAGGGTTAACCCCGCACCTCGGCTGGGGGATCTGATGTTCCCTGCTCCATCCCTGTTCCCTGTTCCATCCCTGTTCCCTGCTCCATCCAAAGGGATCGATGGCCCCGATCCGTTCCCGGAGCTCTCCGGAGCCACGGGAGCAGCGGCTCCATCCCGAGCCCGATTCCCGATCCTGCCTTTGGCTGTTCCCAGCCCCATCACGGGATTTTTAGGGCATCTGACTCACGGATTTTGGAGCCTTGGCAGGGCCGCGGGGCTCCAAAATCCTGTCCTGCAGCACTTCCAGGGAAGTGGAATCCCCACAGCCGAGATTCCCCGGTGGGGTGGGAAGGTGCAGGGTTAACCCCGCACCTCGGCCGGGGGATCTGATGTTCCCTGCTCCATCCGAAGGGATCGATGGCCCCGATCCGTTCCCGGGAAGCAGCGGCTCCATCCCGATTCCCGAGCCTGCCTTTGGCTGCTCATCGTTCCCATCCCCGTCACGGGATTTTTAGGGCATCTGACTCATGGTTTTTGGAGCCTTGGCAGGGCCGCGGGGCAGCTGCGGCTCCCAACAGGCGCTTCCCCCTCGGGTGGCACCGGGCCAGCCCGGCCGGCTCCTGTCGCTGTCGCTGTCCCCGCTCGGACCCTGCCCCCGCATTCCCACCGCTCCCCCGCCATCCCCAGCATTTCCGCGTCTGCTTTTCCCCCCTGGAAATAAAATATTGCTGCTAAATCCGGCCCAGGCACAGCCTGGCTTGTCCCCTCTCGGCGCAGTTGGGGACAGGCGGCGCTGGTCCCCCCACGTCCCCAGGGTGTGGGGACAGGACCCGCTGTCACTGCCGGCCCCTCCTCCACCCCCCAGCTCCCAGGGAAAGCCCTGGAGCGGGGAAAAATGGGAATGACAGGACCTGGAGGGGACCCTGAGCTGCTCCGGGGGCGATGGGGAGGGGACCCCTCTCTGTGCCCGCCCGGCCGGCTCCTGTCCCTGTCCCTGTCCCCGTTCGGACCCTGCCCCGCATTCCCACAGCTCCCCCGCCTTGGAGCAGGGAAAAATGGGAATGACAGAACCTGGAGGGGACCCTGGGCCCCTCTCTGTGCCCGCCCTGGTGCCCCCCGAGGGCGGTGGGCACGGGTGACCCCTCGTCCCTGTCCCCTCCCGCCTGGCACCGCTGGCAGCCCCTTCCCAGCCCGGGTCTGGCAGGGGGACAGTGACACCTACAGGAACGCGACAGGGGCCACCCGTGTGTCCCCCCCAGCGGGCGGGGCGGCTCCCCTGCCACCCCCGGGGCTGGGCACGGGGCCCGCCCTCGGGAGCGGCTGGCGCCGGAGCGGGCACCGGAGCGGGTCCCGGGCACCGGAGCGGGTCCCTGGGCACCAGAGCGGGTCCCGGGCACTGGAGTGGGCACCGGAGCGGGCACTGGGCACCAGAAAGGGTCCCTGGCCCTGGAGCAGGCACCGGGCACCAGAAAGGGTCCCTGGGCACCAGAGTGGGCACCGGAGTGGGTCCCTGGCACTGCAGTGGGTCCCTGGGCACTGGAAAGGGTCCCCGGGCACTGGAGCAGGCACTGAAGTGGATCCCTGGCTCTGGAGCTGGTCCCTGGCACTGGAGCTGGTCCCTGGCACCGGAGTGGGTCCCTGGGCACTGGAAAGGGTCCCTGGGCACTGGAGCAGGCACTGAAGTGGATCCCTGGCTCTGGAGCTGGTCCCTGGCCCTGGAGCTGGTCCCTGGCACCGAAGTGGATCCCTGGCTCTGGAGTGGGCACCAGAGCTGGTCCCTGGGCACTGGAGCGGGTCCCTGGGCAGCTCTGAGCACCTCAGGGGCCTCTGAGGAGGGACAGGAGCAGGGTGGGCAGTGCCCAGGCGGGGACAGCTCCGCTGGCTGCGGTCACTCCAAGGAGCAGATCCCACAGGTCCCACAGATCCCACAGATCCCACAGATCCCACAGGTCCCACAGGTCCCACAGATCCCGGTGTCCGGCCGATGTCCCCAGACGGGCCCCGCTGGGTTCTGGCAGGTCTGGAGGGCGCCCAGGAGCCCCCACAGCCACGTTAGATCCAGGCTGGAGCAGCAGATCCCCCTTGGGAAGGCCAGGCCAGGCCAGGCCTGGCAGGATTGTATTCCACACAGGATCCATGGAGGGACCAGAGGAGAAACGGGACCCCAAACGCTGATCCCGGGGCTGGGAGTGCCAGACCCTCACCATGGGCCATGGGTGATGCCTTCGGGTGGTGCCTTGGGACTCTGCCCCTTCACACACCAGGAAATCCCATCCTGAAGCACCCAAAAAAATGAGAAACTGGGAAAAGCTGATCCTGCTGCAGCCATGGCCACAGGGAAACCACTCCAGGGCATTGGAGACATTCCAGAGATCCACCAGGCACGGAGAGCTGGCCCGGAATTCCATGGAGAGCCATTCCAGAGCTCCACTGGCTGTGCAGAGCTGTTCCAGAGCTCCATCAGGCACGGAGACTATTCCAGAATTCCATGGAGAGCCTTTCCAGAGCTCCACGGGGTGTGGAAAGCCATCCCACAGCTCCACCGGGTCTGGAGATTCATCCCTCAGCTCCACCGGGTCTGGAGAGCCATTCCAGAATTCCGTGGCCATGGAGAGCCATCCCAGAGCTCCACCAGGCATGGAGAGCTATTCCACAGATCCACTGGGCGTGAAGAGCCATTCCTGAGCTCTGCTGGGCGTGGAGAACCATTCCAAAGCTCCACTGGGCGTGGAGAACCGTTCCCGAGCTCTGCTGGGCTTGGAGAACCGTTCCAGAGCTCCAGTGGGCGTGGAGAACCATTCCAGGGCTCTGTTGGGCGTGGAGAAGCATTCCAGAGCTCCAGTGGGCGTGGAGAACCGTTCCAGAGCTCTTTTGGGTGTGGAGAACCATTCCAAAGCTCCGGTGGGCGTGGGGAACCGTTCCAGAGCTCTGTTGGGTGTGGAGAACCATTCCAGAGCTCTGTTGGGTGTGGAGAACCATTCCAGAGCTCTGTTGGGTGTGGAGAACCGTTCCAGAGCTCCGCTGGATGTGGAGAACTGTTCCAGAGCTCTGCTGGGCGTGGGGAACCGTTCCAGAGCTCCACCACGTTCCAGCCTCTCCCAGCTCAGCTCCAGCTCCAATCACACTTCTCCAGAAGCCTCTCCCCAAAAATCCTCTCCTCCAGCCACGTTCCTGTCCCCACGGGCAGGGCAGGGCCCCATCCTCGCCCTGGCACCACCTGGAACATCCTCGGGTGCCCTCCCGGTGCCAGCTGGGCCGGGTTGGGAGCCCCACAAGAAATCCAACCCTGGGGAGCAGCAGGGATGAGCTGTGTGGGCGAGCTGGCCCAAATCCTCCTGGGTTTTGCCATTTTTCCCACTTTTCCCCCGCAGTTTTGCAGGGAACGGGGTCCTGCCGGCCCCTCGGTGGCACCGCGGGAGCTGGGAGCGGGAAGGGCGGGCTCAGCCCTTTGTGCTGCCCCCAAATCCCGCAGGATTGGGGCTTTTCCCAGCCTGGCCACTTTCCCTGGAGCCCCCGGCTCCTCATTCCCACCGGGCAGTTTGTGTGGAGGGCGAAGCTGAGGAGGGGGATGATTTTCTATCCCCAATAAAAATTAACCCTTCCCGACAGAGCCGCCCTCCCCGAACTCCCGGCGCTGAAACATCTGCAGAGAATTCCCGGCTAATCCCCGGCAGGCTCGGGGGTGCCGGAGCACAGCGAGGATTTGCACAAGGCGCTGGCCTCTTTTCCTGCCGCTTCTCCCGGCTCCAGCAGCCTCTTCCCGAGCTCTAATCCATGTTCTCCTGCTCTGCTGCTGCCGGAGACCTCCGGACACTCGGCAGCTTTAGAGGGAAATGTTTCTCCTGGCGGGGATCACGCCGGAACACGCAGATTCCCAGCCAGGACCAGCCAGGGATTTTCTGGCTTCCCGGGAATGATCCCGGCTTGGAAGAGCTGGATGTTCCCTGCTCCAGGATCCTCAGAGCGAGGCCACGCCGTGGAAAGAACCTTGGCCACCCTATCCCTGGATCTGGGGGTGCAGGGTCCCTGCTCGGGGTCCCCAGAACCTCGGGGACACCCAGCAATGGGGGTGCAGGGTCCTGCTCTGATGCCAACCCCGCAGAATGATCCCGGCTGGGAAGAGCTGGATGTTCCCTGCTCCAGGATCCTCAGAGCGAGGCCACACCGTGGTCACCCCATCCCTGGATCTGGGGGCGCAGGGTCCCTGCTCGGGGTCACCCAGGGATGTGGGGGGACACCCAGCAATGGGGGTGCAGGGTCCCTGCTCGGGGTCACCCAGGGATGTGGGGGGACACCCAGCAATGGGGGTGCAGGGTCCCGCTCTGATGCCAACCCCGCTGTGAGGGCGGGTGGGCCCTGGTTCGGATGCCTGAGGTCGGGCACCCCTGTCCCCCTGGAGGTGCCTGTGCCCCAAATTTCCCCCCGAGCCATCCAGCTGTGCCCACACACGTCCAGCTGTGCCCCCGGCCAGGCTGGAGCACTCTTCCCCCGCTCTGCACGGGGCTGTCCCCACTCGTGTCCCCACCCCAGTGCCCCTTTCTCTGTGTCTGAGGGCTCCACCCGAGCCCCCCGACCCCGGCACCCCCCGGGCAGGGGCTCCCCCAACCCAGGGCTCGGTGCCCCCTCCCCAAAGGTTTGGGGGGCGCCCGTCCATCGCTGGGAGCCGGGCAGAGCCCGAGCCCCCCGTTCCACCGGGAGCCCCCCGGGACGAGGCTGTGCCAACCTTCAAGTCTCCCCCAGCGGCCTCCAGCCCCTCGTGCCTGTCCCTGTCGCTCGTCCCTTGTCCCCTGTGCCTGTCCCCGAGCCCAGGATGGCTCCGCAAAGTTCTCCGGGCGCTGCAGCGAGCGGGGATCGCATCCCCGGCAGCCGCGGGGCTGCGGGAACCGGGAGCGGCGCCGGGAGCGCGGCACGCCCGAGCCGCGGAGGGCGAACCCCCAGCATTGCCCGTTTCTTTTCCTTTTCGCCCCAAACCCAGCGCGGTCTGCGGGTGCTCCCCTTGCCAGAGGCGGCTGCCGGGGATCGGGAGCGTTCTCCGGGCACAAAGCTCCGAGCCGAGCCCGCGGCTCCGGCTCGATCGGGGCGCGGGGACGGCGATTTCCCCAGGCAGGAACCGGAGCCACCGAGCTCAACTTTGCCCGCCGAGTGCCCACAGCGCGTTCCCAAGCTCTGGAATGATCGGGGCGAGGATGGAGGGCAGCGGGAGGGGGAGATCTCCCCCGAAAGGCAAATCCCGCTTTGCCAAGGGGAGCGGGGATGGGAGACGGGCAGGGCTGCGCTGCTGGGTGATCCTGCCCGCTCCGGCCCCGAGGGGGCGGCTGGGCTGGTGTCCCCCGAGTCCCCCGAAGCCCCCCGAGCCCCCCTCCCCGTTTCAAGTTGACGGGGAATAGGGGATGAAGTTGAACCCCCCTCTCTCTCTCTCTCTCTGCCGCAGCGGCGGTGCCAGCTCGGAGGGGCTCGCCCCCCGCCCCAGCCCCGCAGCCCCTCGCCCAGGGAGGGGGGGACGCGCCACCTCGGCCGGGCGACAGCCGCCACCCCCGCCCCCGGCACCCCCGCCGGGGCCACTCACCTACGAAGAGGACGATGCAGAAGGCGTTTGCCAAGATCATGGTAGGAAATCCACGCGCTCCTCCACGTGTGCGAAAAAATTATGTTAAAAAAAATCAGGCACCAAAAAAAAAAAAAAAAAAAAAAAAAGAGGGGGGGAGGGGGGGAGGAGGAAAAAAATTGAATAATTCCCAAGGCGGTCAGGTAGATCCCAAATCCGAAGCGGAGGGAAGGAAGGGGGGGTTGCTCCGCCCGGCCGGAGCCGGGTCCTCAGCCGCTCGCCGCCTCCCGCATCCCCGCCGGGCTCCGCTGCGCGCTCCGGGCTCCGCCGGGCTCCCGCCGGCTTCTGCCGAGCTCCGGCTGCCGGGGAGGGGGCGCGGCGAGGGGCGGCTGCGCTCCGCCGAGCCCCGGCGAAGGGGCAGAGCCGGCGGGGCCGCCGTCCCCTCCCCGCCCCTCCGCCGGGGCCGCCCTTCCGCCCGGGGCGGGGGTCGGGGGGGCTCGGTGCGGACCTGTGCTCGTTATCCTCCATGCCCGTGTCCCCATCCATCCATCCATCCATCCATCCATCCATCCATCTGTCCGTCCGTCCGTCCTGGCTGGGATGCACCTGCCCGGCCCCTCCGCGGCTCCCGCGCTGCCGCAGAGCCCAAGGCGAGACCCCCCCCCGCCCTCCCCAAATTCCAGCCCCGGGCCCCCCGTGCTGCTCCCGCCGAGGGGGGGAGAGGAGGGGACACCCGGGGACTGCAGGGACAAAGTGCCACATCCATGGGGGGGTGACAGCAGTGGGGGCTGCAGGGACAAGGTGCCACATCCATGGGCGGGTGACAGCCACTGGGGTGGCAGGGACAAGGTGCCACATCCCTGGGCGGGTGACAGCCACTGGGGTGGCAGGGGGACAATAGGACAAGGTGCCACATCCCTGGGCGGGTGACATCAGTGGGAATGGGAGAGGGACACCAGGGGGCTGCAGGGACAAGGTGCCACATCTCAGAGTGGGTGACAACCGTGGGGTGGCAGGGGGACACTGGGACAAGGTGCCACATCCCGGGATGGGTGACAGTGGGACACCAGGGGGCTGCAGGGACAGGGTGCCACATCCATGGGGGGGTGACAGCCGTGGGGGTGGCAGGGACAAGGTGCTGCATCCCTGGGGGGGTGACAACAGTGGGGTGGCAGGGGGGACAATGGGACAAGGTGCCACATCCCCGGGTGGGTGACAGTGGGACACCAGGGGGCTGCAGGGACAGGGTGCCACATCTCAGAGTGGGTGACAGCCGTGGGGGTGGCAGGGACAAGGTGCCACATCCCTGGGGGGGTGACAGCCGTGAGAGTGGCAGGGGGACACTGGAACAAGGTGCCACATCCCGGGATGGGTGACAGCCATGGGGGCTGCAGGGACAACGTGCCACATCCATGGGTGGGTGAGAACTGTGGGGATGGGAAATGGGGACACCCTGGGGGTGGCAGAGGGACGCTGGGACAAGGTGCCACATCCCGAGATGGGTGACAGCCATGGGGGTGACAGCGGGACACCAGGGCGCTGCAGGGACAAGGTGCCACATCCATGGAGGGGTGACAGCCATGGGAGTGGCAGGGGGACACTGGGACAAGGTGCCACATCCCCGGGTGGGTGACTGTGGGACACCAGGGCGCTGCAGGGACAAGGTGCCACATCCATGGAGGGGTGACAGCCATGGGAGTGGCAGGGGGACACTGGGACAAGGTGCCACATCCCCAGGTGGGTGACTGTGGGACACCAGGGCGCTGCAGGGACAAGGTGCCACATCCCTGGATGTGGTGATGGGTGACAGCCATGGGGGTGGCAGAGGGGGACAAGGGGACAAAGTGCCACCCGGTGCCAGGGGGACCCCACCCAAAAGGGGCACCCAGCCGGGGCTGGGCCCTCCCCACTGCGGGGTTTTTGGGGGTCACACCCACACAGGTTCCAGGGAACCCCAAATTCCCAGTGCCTGAACCCTCTGCCCCACACTGGGAGTGGGACTGGGGTCACCACCTCCTGCAGGGCCATGGTGCAGCCTTCCTCATCCTCCTCATCCTCACCCCCCAGCCCCAACAGGGTGCTGGAACCCCTCACCCCTCTCTCTGCCCCTGCTTTGGGGTCAGGACCCCCCCAAGCCCGAGGGATGTGGGAAGCAGGAATGAGGAGGAGGAGGAGGAGGAGGATGCTCCACTGGGATCACCGCGATGAAGGCCCTGGGGAGCAGGAGGGGAGGGGGCTCCTGGTGCTGGGGGTGTCCCCGTTCCCCAGCAGTGACCAGGACATTTCCACTTGGCCAGGATTTCCCAAAATCCATTCCCGGGACACAGATCCCGCTGCTCTCCCTCCCCTTCCCGCTCTGATGGGATCCCAGCGGTGGGAGCCGCTTCAGGCCATGGCCAGGCCCCTCTGCCTCTTCCTCAGGAGAGCAAATTCCTGCTCCTTCCCTGCCTGGAGCCCTGGAAAAATCCAGCCTGGATCCCTGGAAAAATCCCGCCTGGAAAATTCCTGCCTGGATTCCTGGAAAAATCCAGCCTGGATAATTCCTGCCTGGATCCCTGGGTAACTCCTGTCTGGATCCCTGGAAAAATCCCACCTGGATAATTCCTGCCTGGATCTCTGGATAAATACCACCTGGATAATTCCTGCCTGGATTCCTGGATAAATCCTGCCTGGATAAATCCTGCCTGGATCCCTGGGTAATGCTCTCCTGGATAAATCCTGCCTGGATAATTCCTGGATAAATCCCGCCTGAATCCCTGGGTAAATCCCACCTGGTTAATTCATGTCTGGATAATTCCTGCCTGGATAAATCCCGCCTGGATTCCTGGGTAACACCCTCCTGAATAATTCCTGCCTGGATCCCTGGAAAAATCCTACATGGATCCCTGGAAAAATCTGGTTAATTCCTGTCTGAACCCCTGGAAAAATCCCACCTGGATAAATCCCACCTGGATCCCTGGATAAATTCCACCTGGTTAATTCATGTCTGGATAATTCCTGCCTCGATCCCTGCATAAATCCCACCTGGATCCCTGGGTAACCCCCTCCTGAATAATTCCTGCCTGGATCCCTGGCTAAATCCTGTCTGGATCCCTGGAAAAATCCCTGGATAAATCCTACATGGATCCCTGGAAAAATCCCTGCATAAATCCTGCCTGGATCGTCAGATAATTCATGTCTGGATAATTCCTGCCTCGATCCCTGCATAAATCCCACCTGGATAATTCCTGCCTGGATCCCTGTATAAATCCCACCTGGATCCCTGGAAAATTCATATCTGAATAATTCCTGCCTGGATCCCTGGATAAATCCTGCCTGGGTAACCCCTGATTAATTCATGTCTGGATAAATCCCACCTGGATCCCTGGAAAATTCATGTCTAGATAATTCCCATCTGGATCCCTGGATAATGCCTGCCTGGATAAATCCCACCTGGATCTCTGAATAATTCCTGCCTGGATCCCTCGGTAAATCCCACCTGGATCCCTGGAAAATTCATGTCTGGATAATTCCTGCCTGGATAACCCCTGGTTAATTCATGTCTGCATAAATCCCACCTGGATCTCTGAATAAATCCTGCCTGGATCCCTCGGTAAATCCCACCTAGATCCCTGGAAAATTCATGTCTGGATAATTCCTGCCTCGATCCCTGCATAAATCCCACCTGGATAATTCCTGCCTGGATCCCTGGATAATGCCTGCCCGGATCCCTGGAAAATTCATGTCTGGATAATTCCTGCCTGGATAACCCCTGGTTAATTCATGTCTGGATAAATCCCACCTGAATGCCTGCATAAATCCCACCTGGATCCCTGAATAATTCCTGCCTGGATCCCTCGGTAAACCCCACCTGGATCCCTGGAAAATTCATGTCTGGATAATTCCCATCTGGATCCCTGGATAATGGCTGCCTGGATAAATCCCACCTGGATCCCTGGAAAATTCATGTCTGGATAATTCCTGCCTCGATCCCTGGATAATTCCCATCTTTGTTCCCTCGGCTCCAGGGAAAGGATTCCCAGAGCAGGATCCTCTCTCCCTCTCCATCCCCTCCCAGGGCTGGGCCAGAGGGGGCTCGGTCCCCCCGAGGTGACCCCGCAGGGTTTTTGTCCCCGCAGCTGCTCCAGCAGGGAAGCTGCAGCTCCACTCGGCCTTTCCCGGGTTTTATTCCCTCAGCCCCCGCCCCAGAGCCTGCCGGGGGTGGGATCCAGCGGGAAACGCCCCCTCTAATTACCTGAGCACGTTAATTAGCTTGGGGTGGGATTGTGGTCATGAATCCCGTGGGGTTAATCCCGGAGTGTTCCCTGTCCAGGAACCGGCAGCTCCCTGGCCTCTCATTTGGGGGAGCCAGCCCGAATTTATTCCATTAATTTAAAATTAAATTTCTTTATTCCAGCCCAGTTTGCAGCCTGGGAGCTCCTCAAACCAGGGGCAGCACCCGCGGTTCATGGTCCCTCCTCATGGCGGGTTCTGGGGGCAGGGGAGGTTGGATTCTCCAGAGGCAGGGGACACGCAGGGGACACTTAGGGGACAGTCCCTGCTCAGCCGTCCCTGCACAAAGGGGGCTCTGTCTGGAGCTGCCCGTCCTGCTCAGAAGGAAAAGGAGGCTCGGAGGGGTTAGGGTGGGATGCAGATCCGGGTTTTGGGATCGCAGGAGACCGGCAAGGCCTCACCGTGGTGGAGGAGAGGAACGAGCACCGACGGAAATATTCAGGCTTGGGAGGGGAGGAAAAAAATAAAACCCTACCAAAAAAAAACAACAAAACTACAGAAACACAAGAAACTCCACAACTTTATTGGCAGCCTTTGAGGGGTGATAAGGTCAATCAGCAAAGCCGATTACAGGCAGCCAGCTCCCAGTGCTCCCAGTGCTCCCAGTGCCGCCAGCGGCACAGCCAGGGCTGGCTGCTCTCCCCCACTTCCAGAGGATCCCGATGGAAGTCCCTGGGGACGGAGAGCCCTCCCTGGCTTTGTTCCCGCTCGGGGGTTGATCGATGGCACCGGCGGATCCCTCCCCATCCCTCCCTCCCTTTAAGCCCCATTAACATGGGTGGGATTTGC